GACAGAATTTTTTTCTCATTTTCATTTCGTCCAGACCGTTTCCGGGGCCCATCCAACCTCCTATCGAATTGGTGCCGGGGGCCCATTCCCCAGGGTGTAAAGCGGCCGGGGCGTGAAGCTGACCATTCACTTCCAACTAGTGTCGAGATCAAGAAAACTTGGATCTATGCGTTTACTCCCCCACACGCCGATCACAGTGGCCGTGCGGTCTAAGGCATGAACCGTCTTCGCCCGCTCGAACACTGAGGTTGTTGGCTCGAATCCCACTCGAGGCATGGATGTCTGTTTGCGTTTATTCTGTGTTTATGTTGTTCTGTGTGTCCCGTCCAAGGAGTACTGCCGACTGTGTATAGGATTAATAAACTGAAATAGCGGCTAAGGTCCAAAGTTCTGTAGAACCAGAGAGAGAGATTCCGTCTGTTCTGCGAACCAGAGTACATTATATCTTTATAGGTATGGTTACGAAAGGAAAATATTTTTCTAAGTATGTTACGATTTTCTCGCTATTTGGTGAATAAAGAAAGTGTGTTTGAAACAGAATGTCGTAATTCGCTAAAGATGACATAACGGCCTGTGACTCTGAGTGACTATGGTCATAGCAAAGGCAGTCAAGCGTTGCTTAGACCACAGCTTCGAATTCTGATTAGTGTGTCTTCTGAAACTTGAAACAGTTGAAGAGTAATTTGCACATAACTTCAGTGGAGACACTGCAAATGCAGAACGGAGCTGTCTGTGTTAATTTGCACAACACTAATTACTTACCGTGTTACCTGAAACACGTTACATTTAACATTACCGGCGACATGTCGGGGGTCTTACGCTTGTCTCTCTGCTTTAACGGTAATTCAGAAACCAGGCAAAGCTCTCCCTGTCTTTCATTAAGCACCACGCCATGAGAAACGGTGAAGTTAAGGTGTAGGTCTATGCTCTATACCTTGGCACTAGATGATCAATATTTAGCTTCACGTTCCGGCTTCATTTCCCGTTGGTGACCACTGGATAAGAAGCAAGAGGGGCGTAGAGCTGGTCTACCCAATGTGAAGAAGCGAGAAGTCTCTGCCTATGATGGAAATCGAACCCAGATCCCCTGGCAGTTCGCCTTTAATATAGTCACTGGCTCCTCGTACAAAATAATAACAGTCATACAGGTCAGATTCTTTACAAGGGTCTGTATCAATATTCAGCCTTATTACAATGATTCACAGAGTTACTTTAAGACTGGCGGTTTGCTTTGGCTTGGCGACAAGCTCCTTGAGCCCCACGACCAGAATTTTTATTTTCCAACTGAACACTTTTGAAGAAAGTTGTCTTCTGGGTTTAGGCACCGTGTATTCTTCGTTTTGGCCGACGTTTCGGAGGAACGTAGCGCCTCCATCTTCAGAGCAGTTGAATAGCTGCCTGTGACCTGTAACATCCTCTCCGGCGAGAGGATGTGCCTGTCGTTTACAATTCCTGCTGGTCGTCGCCAGCGCAGTTATTCTCAGGTCAGAGTCCTGCGGGACTCATTACCACATTTTGCTGCCTTAGATTCGAGACTGCCTCAACCTGGAGGGTCAGGTCCCCGTATTTATATCACCCAGGAACAGGGTGGCTCAATCCCCAGGCACTGGGTTCACTTTTCGTCGCCTCCTACGACTCCCAGGGCTACAGTGGAGGTGTTCGACGTCCCCTCCACACGGGATGACGATTTGTGTGGAAAGAGAAGCTTATGTATTATGACATGACGCCCGAAAGCCGGAGTAGTGAAATTAGAGAAGACGTCTCTTGCTAGGCAACAGCTCAGTAAACACGTGACCGCTGCAACGAATACGCAATCAACATTCGAATAACATCCGTGGCTATGCAACGAAGCTGTAAACACGCCTTCTTAACAACAGAGAGTCTGTGTTTTCTGCGTGGTCTGGGCAAAGTTGTTATAAAGAAGAATTCAGTTGGGTTTCGAGGCGCCAGCCTGCCAGGATATGAGCTAGGCAGCAGAGAATTGAGAAAGTCGGAGTCGAAGAAGATTGAGAAGAAATAGCATGAAAGAAATTAGATTATGCAAAGAAGACTTCACGTTTGATTTGAAGTTACAGTGAAACCGTTATAAATCCGTTGCCAGGATACGACTAGCAAAGACTGAGAACTCTAGTGCGTGTGTAACAGTGAACTGTAAAATACGTAGACCAGCGATAGCGCTATGTCGCCTGCAGTCCTGAATTGTGAACATATAAGACGCCACTAAATCCAATCATCCGATCCAAACCCCTTCTATAGTTACCCCTACACGTGTCAGTATTTTTATATCCATGAGTGTTTTCCTTTAATAAGTTTCGAAGAGAGTGACAGATTTTTATATAATTTGGTATGAACTTGAGGCCCGCTAAGAGCAACCCCATATTTATGACATTTGAAGGTCTCGTGCAGAGGAACGTGATAATTAGTGTCTACCGGGTTGTGAAGCAATGTGATCCAATACACGGTTGCCTATATTTTGGAGAAACGTTCCATCTCCTTCTTCTTCGGGCTGGAAGAGTATGCAGAGCATTTTGCAGCTGGATTTTCAACCAGCAGAATCATTCTTGGCTTTCAGTGCTTCAGGTTTCGTGGGCATAATTTTTTTCAGTGTCAAACGAATTTTGGAACAGTTTACTGGTCATCTAGCTCATATTTCCGGGCTCTTCGTCTGTAGGAAGCACCCTCAATTTTCTATTACTACCGCTCTGTAGTTACGTTTGGTAAACTCCTGCGTGTTCCGGTACCTGCAAAGCAGCTCTGTACGCACAGACTGGTGACGTATACAGCCCCTTGAGAGACCAATGTAGCCTGTCCCTTTCTACTTTGACACTCTCTCAGTAATTCCCTTAAAGAATGTGCCAGTTCTGAGATGAATAGAAGCACTCCCGATGGCCAATGCTATTTCCACGACGGTATGTCTTGAAGTCCATTTGTTCTACGAATCAGTTTGTCACAACTTGCGTAGGCAACACCCAAACCCTGCGTTAGTATGTCTGAATTTCACATGCGCATGTGCAGAAAGTAGTAACTTTCGAAGGAATTATCTGTGCCACAGTTCAGGCGGCTAGTCGCCGGTTTCCCACTCTGCGTTCCGGGTTCAAGCACAAGTCAAGTCATGTGGGATTTGTGATGGACAAAGTGGCACTACGGCAGGTTTTCTCGGAGTACTTCGGTTTCTCCTGCCACTTCTCATTCCACCTACTCCACATTCATTATAATGTATCATCCGGGCCTGGTACAGTTGCCGACGTACCAAGTGGACCTTTTGCATGACAACGTAACTACATGCATAGCTAAAGATGACGGACTTAGGATTTGTGCCCATACTGGGTGAAGTATACCTCTTGGATTTGTCTTCATCCGCCTTTGGTTTGGTGGCTGCAATTTCGCCGTATGAAGTGTTAGTGGTCTCAGTTACATGTGCCATGGCCTCTTACTGATTGATTGACTTGCTTGCTTGAGACGTCTTGCCTAATGACGGCGTGACAACTGAATTTGTTGACTAAATATATTAGTATTGCATCGTTACTGCACCTGCCCTGTTTATGTAAGTACTAAGAACACTGGAGAAGAAAGTATAATTTTCTTACAAACGGACTATGTACACCGATATATGCACAGTGTCTTGGCTAGAAAGAACAAAATATCGGCGCCGGGATGTTACTTGTACTTTGTTGTATGAGGGAGAGTCAGTACATAGGTCACAAATGAAAGTAAAGCATCTGTAATGAAAGTAATAGGTTTTTATATATATCACTAGGTTGCAGGACAGTCCAGATTCATGACATTCTAGGTAGCAGACACGCATGCGCTGGTTTCAGTAGTCAAAATGGCGACCGTGCTCGAGTATCCTACTGAAGAGCAGAATTTATGTTGTGTGTTTTATATGGGCAAAAGGACTCGATGCAAAATTTGTTCATAAACATTTCGCTGATGACCAAGATGTTGAAACGGAAGTGTGAAAGTGACTGATTCAAAAGTCACAAGACTTCTATGTTTCGGGTTTCTACGAACTCATAAGTTACGGGACAGGTGTATCAATGTTGGTGGAGGATATTTCGAGAAATAAAAGTTATTTCCACTTTCGATTATCACATGTTTTACGTTTCATATCCAATTGTGATATATTTGCTGACTCTTCCTTGTATAAATTTGATGTTTCACAGCCTTATTTTTAAACCAATAGTCTCTGCATATGTCTGAAATTAAATTAAAAATAGATCAAGCCGTCTTAAAAAATACATTTTCCATTTTGTTCCCTACAGGCCGTATTGTTACTTTTACAAGGATAGTTGATATCTCTAAATCATTGAAATATAATTACAATAGTAATTACAATCACAAGCTTGTATTTGGGAGCTTCTGTGAAGGCATATCAGTTTTGGAACTAGAATGTTCATATTCGCTGGGCACCGAACTATGATGAATAAAATGTTGAAAATATAGTATAAATTAAATTTCATCAACCGTTCAGGGGTACCGATATATATATATACACACACAGTAAAACTTGGTTATAGCAACATCGGTTTCTGCGACATCTTGTCTATTGCGTCAGATATTCAATGGTACGAACTAATTCCTCATAAAGCAACTGTTTTTATACCTTGCTTAGTACGACATGCACAAATGCATCAACATCGTATGTAACGTCAT